TCTCCAGCCTGTCCAGATCTCGCTGGAAATTGGAAACAATTTAAGGAAGAAAAACCAGAGTCCATGCAAGTCTGTATTGCATCAGTCTGAGACAGAAATGGGGTTGGAATGTATAACTGAAGTAGGGCAGTACTTTATTCTGCATGCGTGCTCTGATTGTCATGCAGCTCTTATGTTTAGTGCTCCTGTACACTAAAGTAATGTTTTCAGAGAGCAAGGCTTTCTGTATGCATTAACTTCATGCCCTTATGCCTTATTGTTTTTCAGGATGCGTATTCTTCCTTTGTCTGGGAATCTTCTACATGTTTCGGCCAAACATGTCCTTTGTAGCACCTGTGCAGGAGAAAGTGGTTGTTGGGTTGTTCTTCTTGGGAGCCATACTCTGCCTCTCCTTCTCATGGCTCTTCCACACAGTTTATTGCCACTCAGAAGGTGTTTCCCGGCTCTTCTCCAAGTAAGTGCCTAGAGGACAGGGTAGGACAAATAGGAAACAGGTGGGAAAACAGGACTGGGATTTATGCCTGGAGCCCCAGTGTAGAAGTTGTTCATTGCATGACTGCATGTGCTTTGGAACAGAGTCGAGCAGAGACTCGGTGCAGCTTCTTCTAATTATTCTTTGTTTCAGCATGAGTTTTTGTGCTGACTTTTCAGTCTTAAAACTCCTTCATTTTCTGCTGTTTGGCAAGCGTATGGATGCATTTTGCTGCTGTAAGTAATATACCTAGAGCTTAGTTGCAGGACTTTGAATTTTTAATGCAGCTGTCACTTCTTGTCATTTCAACTATTTTGAGTAACTTTAAGTCTTAAACTTACATAAGACAGCTCTGCAATGTGTATCAAGGTGTTTTGGTCTTTTGGTTTTACTACACTTTCTTTTTTTTTTTTTTTTTGCTGTCTGATAAATATCCCGTATTTCTTAAGATTACTCAACCTAGGATTGTGTAATCTGCAAGACCACCTCTAAAGTAACCCAGCAATTAAAATCCCATACTGAAAAAACAAACTCCATCATATTTTGTAGGAGCATTTTGTCAGGGTGTAGTAAAAAGCAATGACTGTACTAATTCCTTTTCTTCACTGGTATATAGAGAGATAGCATGGTTGAAAAATCGCGGCATTATTCCCCAGTGGTCACTTAAGTTGATGCCCAACGAACTCATGCTTGTCAGATACTGAAGTGTTTGTGTTGGCTGTGCTCTTGCAACATACTGTGTGCCCTTTTTTGTGTTCAGAGGACTTTTGTGCTGGTTTTTCCTCATCTGAAGCTTAAATCTGAGATTCCTTCAAAAAGCCTTGGTCAAAAAGCTGCTGTATGTATTGCTGATGACTGTCCAAAACCAGCCTTACTAGCTGTCTGTCAGGTAATCCATTACTGGAAGAGTTGCCATCAGGAAGTAAGTTGCACCTGTGAGAAAAACTTCATTTTGCAGTAAGAAGTACATAGTTGGTCTACTAAAAAAGAGAGTGTTGGTATGAAGACTTCCAAAGGTTTGCATTTCTAATCAAACTGATTTTTGTTTCCTTCTAGGCTAGACTATTCTGGCATTGCACTTCTTATAATGGGCAGCTTTGTACCATGGCTCTACTACTCCTTCTATTGCAACCCTCAGCCTTGCTTCATCTACTTGATTGTGATTTGTGTCCTGGGCATTGCAGCCATAATTGTCTCACAATGGGACATGTTTGCAACCCCTGAATACCGGGGTGTAAGGGCAGGTAAGACCTGAAGTTAACTGTTTTGTTTCTTGACTGCCTTTCCTCCTTCCTACCTGCCGCTTGGAAAAGCCTTCTTGGGAAGTCTTAAAAGAGCTTAATCTTAGAGAGCTAATATTCTTGGGTTGGGAGCTTGATGGTGTTTCTTTCAGCGTGTATTGTAGCCAACTGAATGCACAGATAAGGGCTGGTGCAAGACCTGGAAGTGCATTCCTGAAATGGACAGTAACACATGCAGTAGGAAAGGTACTGCAAAGAATTTCTAGCTATATCTAGCAACTTTGCCTTCTTGCAAAATGACTGACTGGTGTGTGTATGTGTACTTGTACTGTTTGTCTTGTTTTTGTAATACTAGGCTTAGACACTAGCAAATCATTCAATGATTGAATTAATCTGAATGATCTGCCTAAATAAAATACATATTTTAGACAAAGAGCCTGGTTTTTCTCTTCACATGATCAAAAGAACAAAAACAGATTTGGTTTCATGTTCTGAAGTAGAAAGAAAGAGAAAGCTTTAGAGGTCAGCTATGGAATGTGCACACAGCTGAGTTGAATACTAATATTTCTTGTTACTTAACCTGCACATGCTGTCTACAGTAAATCTTGATTTCTTGGACAAGCTCTGGGTGTACCTTCAGAGAGTTCAGCCTTCCAAACTTAAAATCTGTGGATGGGACATGATTATTCCCCCCACGTGTATGTTTTTACAAGATATCTGTACTTGCTAATAAAATCTAAATGAATAAACCATATTCTTGTATATGGCAGGTCAGATGAGCTGCAGATGTTTATTTTCTGTTTCCTAGGACTACTTGTACAGTATATGATAATCTCTTTGTTGTCTCTCCTTGTTGTCTTGCTCTTGAGAGATTATGGTAAAGTGGGACATAGTTCGTGTAGTCTCAGTGCCCTCTACAGTCCAAGATGTGTAACTGGCTTAATGTCCATTAAGGCTGGCAGATGCAGTCAGTAAATGAAATCTTTCAGTATCTGCTGGAACATAAAACTAAGGGGCTTCTGGTACATGAAGGAAGTCTGTGCATTCTTTAACTTCCTTCACAATGAAGCTCTTCTGGGGACCTTCAGCTTCCAGAGCTGTCACTTTGCTGCTTTGGCAAATACTGAGTTTTCCTTCCGTAGCTTTTGTGTTTTCATTGTCTCCCTTTACCGCCACTGTGCTCAAACCTGACTCTCCCACATTTTCTTTACCTCCCAGGAGTATTTCTAGGTCTGGGTCTTAGTGGGGTTATTCCCACCCTGCACTTTGTCATCTCTGAGGGGCTCCTGAAAGCAGCCACAATGGGGCAGATAGGCTGGCTGGCACTCATGGCATGCCTGTACATCACTGGTGCTGCACTATATGCTGCCCGCATCCCGGAGAGATTCTTCCCTGGCAAGTGTGACATCTGGGTGAGTCTACAGAATGACTGGGTGAGGAGACCAATGTGAAAGCTGGTTCCCCTTGAGGCTGGAGGATGTTGTGTCACTGTTTTCTTATTGCAAGTATCAAAATGCTGCACCAGAAATATTGGTCTTGAGGGGCCAAGCAACTGTGGGCTCTCCGAGGCCAACTTCCCTGGTGCCTCTCTTGCTGGATATTCACAAGCTGGCTGGTCTGAGGTGACTACTGGTGTGCAAGTTCACCCTAGCACATCTAAGATAGCTTTAATAGTTGGGTGAGCAAATTTGCAAACCCTTTTGTGTGTGTGTGTGTGTGTGTGTGTGTGTTGAGGATCCTGCAAGCACACATCTTGTCTTGCTTCTGTGCAGAATAGTGCATAGTTGTTTCTCCGATGTTCAGTGTGCTGTCTGGGATCTTCGCTGTCTCTGGCTCCTCGTCTTGTGCAGCCAGTGAAAGCGCTGGATAGAGATGATAGACTTTGGAGGGATCTCTGGCCCAAAAGAAGGGAAAGTGGGGTGAGCAGCTGGGTGAGCGGGGAAAATTTGGGATGAGGGAAAGGATCATGAAGACCCTGGAGGGGAAATATGTGGGGAAGATGTGAAGAAAGGAATTGAGTGGAGCAAGAGTAGAGATGAGAGGGAGCTGGACCTTTGGAAGGCCACTGGACTTCTGCTAGGATAGTTCAAAGCCCCAAAAGAAGACGAAGTGAGAATGATTCTGGGTTGTTTGGCTTTTACACACACCAGTTTGCTAGTTTTGTTTAAATGGCCAAATAAACCCTTGTTATGATAACAAGCAAGGCTCCAAAAGCACTGGGGTACCACCAACTCTTTTCCAAGCTTCCTGTGGAGCCTGCAAATAGACATTTGTAGAATTTTTTTAAGAGCATTATCCATATTGGTATGGCTTCCCTCAGACAAGAGCATGCTTTATCATGGAGCTCCCTCGTGGTTTCATTCTGCTGTACTATAATCAGTAGCATCCTGGGCATTCATTCAGAACATCTGGTTGCTTCTAGGTTTTAATACAACAGCTTTTTTTCCTATTCTGTTTCTCCATGGCAGAGAAACAAAATAAAAATGTTCAAAATCCACTTGGTAAAACTTACACCCTTGACCAGAGCAAAGTTTGTACCTGTTAGCTGTGTGAGAGAGTCCTTTTTATCAATAAGCTGCCAGTGTGTGTTGTGGAGGAACCAATTTTACAAGTGTCCTGCTTAAGCCTTTAGCCTGAAGCTCTGAAATGATCCTTGTCCCTTCACAAAAATGCACTATAGCATTCATGTGGCACATTTGTTGATTGACCAGCTGGTTAAGATGGCTGTGAAGGAAAGGGAGGGGGGTGTGTGTGTGTGTGGAATTTGATTATTTTGCTAATCATAGGAGAGGGAGGGGCTTTAATATGCAACCTGGAGAGCTTTGCAGCTTGTGTTTTGAGGTGCTGCTACGTGTTACTGTGTACTTCAGCTGAATACGTGGCTTTTTTGGAGGCAGGGTAGCATGAGAACCCAGAGCACCCCAGCTGATCAGAGGTGTTTTCTTCTCCGCAGTTCCACTCCCATCAGCTGTTCCACGTCTTTGTCGTGGCGGGTGCTTTCGTGCACTTCCACGGGGTTTCCAACCTCCAGGAGTTCCGCTTCACGGTGGGAGGAGGCTGCACAGAGGAAGATGGGATGCAGTAAAAGCAGCCTTCGGCCCACGACCGTAACCAAAACAGTACCGCCAGCGCGGGCCAAGCGTACAGGCTAGTGAAATGAATACCTAAGAAGAATCCAAGTTTCAGCTGATGGAGCGTGGAGCTTCACAGGGATTCTGACTAACCAAGATAAATCCTATACCTCAAGCAACGGAATGAGTAAATTTGAAGACCAGGAAATTCTGAAACCCTAATTTATTCTTGGGATCTACAGATTGAGCTACAGAGGACCCTTTCCAAATCGGCTTCTGTTCAATGCCATATTTATTTGTAGAATTGGGGAGGGATAGCTTAGCAGTTTCGTTTTTTTTTTTTTTTTAAAGAAAAAAAATAAAGGTTAAATTTATATCCTCTTGGAGGGTTTGGGAGTTGATTTTAGATGCTCTTTTGGGAGAAAAAGAAATTGTAAATAAGATTTCTAACTTTCTGTTTAAATAAAATTTATATAAATGTTTTAAACAATGGGTGGGTGGGAAAGGGTTTTTTTGTAAAGAATGCAACATGCAAGTACCACACACTGTTTCAATTTTGCACAAAATAAATGATTGCAGGAGGACCAGGTAAAATTCCCAGGAGTGAAGCATGTTGGCCCTGCAGATTTTCCTGGTGGCCAGCATGCCCTGGGCCAGGACTTGGAGTAGGTCGAGTACGTGTGTGCAAGGGTTGTGAGGGCTGGATTAACCATGTTGTCATCCAGGTCACAGTGTTAGCAAGTTTATTTACTCGAGTATCTCAAAAGATACATCTGCGCCCTGCCTAAGTGGGTAGGACAGCTGCCTTCCAAGCTTGCAGGGCCTGTGTGGTTTTGGATAGTGGATCTGCCAGTGAGTTGGTTTGGTTCTCATTGCAGGAATCGGAGCAAGATGGGATCGCTGTGCACGAAATGGGAAGCAGTCCGACTCCATCAGTGCCTGCCTATACCCAAAGGCCCCTCTTGAGTAGGTGGTTGCCATTTGTGGGCCTGTGTTGTCTGAGCAAGTGATGGTAATGCATTTGTCAAAGGTAGTTAAACACGTGAGGGGAAGCAGAGGTGAGGTTACAATGGACTGGAAAGAGGAAGCTGTGCACTCCAGGATTTGAGTTAATAGTTCCCACAGACCTCAAGCACGTTACTTCTCCTGTGTCAGGCTCCACGTGCCAAGGGAGTTTGCAGGGTTTTTTTTAAGAGGAAAAATCCACAGTCAGTCCAATGCAGTTCCTTTTTTTTTTCCTTAGGTTTGCTTCCCATCTGTGCTTTAGCAATGGGACTGTTGGTATTTCTTAAACTGAAAATTAAGAGTTCAGTTGGATTGCTGTGGAACAGACGCACCTCCTGTATAAGAGGAGGCATATTCCCTTCTCTTGGGTAATTGATGTAGCTTGATCTTTGGAGCTGAGTCAGAAGCCAGACTGGAGGAGAGTCTTTGGAGTCATAAGGTGAAACACAAATGTTTGGTTTGTTATGGCACAGGTATTGCTTGGAGTGTTTAGCTGGAAATTGAGAGCAATTACCTCTCTCACAGATGAGTTGAACAGCTCATAAAATGCTGTATTTCACAAGGAAGGAAGGTAAAGGGTGGGGTTTTGTTGTGTGTTTTGGTTTTGTTGGGGTTTTTTTGTTGTTTTTTTTTTCTTAAGACTCCTGCAAGTTTGAATTTTCATGCTTCAAGAGAAAAATATGGATTGCAAAGACCTTCCCATACCCTGGATATCACAAAGTGTTTTGGGGAGTTACTTTACCTAATGGAGTCAAGTAGAAGCAAAATGCTTTCCTAAAGTTGACTGGATATTGAGGCTTCACCCTTCGAATGGAGTCTTTGTAAAGCCTCTGAGAGCAAGGTCAGCTGCAGAAAGAGGTGCTGCAGCAGAGTCTGCGAGCTCACAGGGATGTGTTCTCAGTAGGATCCACACACTGGATGCCTGTAGGGCCAGAAGTTGTTCATCACAGCTCTGTGTAGTAGTAAAATGAAGTAAAAAGCAGTATTAACTTGATTGTAGGGGCTAATAGTACTGGCATCCTGGACAAAGATGTAGAGTTGGCTGGCAGGAAGGACACCGGTGTCTGAGAAAAGCGTGGTACATATCAGAATCCGAAATGTCTGTAAGGCGCTTTGGGATACCTCTGTGCCCAGCAGAAGTAGCAGTCTCCATCCTGGATCATCCCACGCTCACTCCTCGAAGGGTGATTGTAACCTGGTCCTACACAGCACAGAACTATTACAAAAACACAGTACTCCACCTGCTATTCTGAACCCAGTCAGTCTCTCCGTTCGAGAAGTTTGTGTGTTCCAATAAAACAACCTAGCTGTGCACTTTTCTGTAGCTCTTGCTGAGAACTCTTCCCAGGTTGGCACCTGAATGCCTTACTCTCAGCAGTCAGAGGCTTGCTTGCTCTGTGTGCAGGTTATTGCCATAGAATAGTTAGGACCTACAGCTTCTTTCCTTCCCCATTAAATAGTGGCCTTGTTCAGTATATTTCTTTTTAAAAATTGCTTACTGTTGAAAGCAATGAAGCACATTCTGGGGTTTTGATGGTTGGGGACTGGTGATGGTTCCATATAAGATGGGATCTTATTACTTGCTGTATTCTTAACTTCTGCTAATAAAAGAACCAAATGGAACATTGTCTACTTTGGGTCTTTCTGTGCTGTGTGAGAAGCTCAAAGGAGTCGCTCTCCTTCTTTTACAGGCAGCACTTCATAGGTAAAAGACTTCTGCTAGTGGAGAAACCAAACTGATGCCTCAAGGCTTATGTATGGTTGAACTGCTGCTCGCTGTGTGCCTCCTTGAGCAAAACCCACTTCATGTGACTGAAACATGGCATCCTCTTGATGCCTGTAGTTCATGTCAAGTATGTGCCTGGTCTTGCTGTAAGACTTCAATACGGTTTAACATATATAAGCATTGCAGCAGACAAAGCTGTCTGTGGACCATGCTGCCTCTTACTTACAGGGCTAATCTCCAGGGAAATTCGTTCTCCAAAGTCCAGAATTATATTTGATATCCACTGGGAGCTCCAGTAGTACAGGGCAGGTGGTGATAGGTGTGCACTACTTCATGGAGCTGCTCATCATGAGAATTCCTCTGATGTAAAATTATTCTGAACTTGCAGCCTGGGACTGTGGCAGCCTGGGACAACACTTATCCTGTCTCATGTCAATGGCTCAGTTTTCTAGTTCCTTGTCTTGCAGATTTTGGAGTGTGTGTGCTGTACCACTGCAGGTTGGGTGCCATGGAGTCTGTTACAGACAAGGGGAAAGGAATAAACTGGCCCAAAAGTGTGGTGGAAGGAGCAGAAACTGAGGTTTATGGATAGTATTGGAAAGCCAGAGGTGAAGCACTGGGGAGTTGAGAGCTTGTGAGGAGAAAAATGGACAGGAAAGACTGAGGGTGTGAGGAACAAGAGCTGGAGGGGGAAAGGGTGGGTGCTGGAGACCTTGGTCATTGTTGGCAAATTTTTAGGTGGGTTGAGATTGGGAAGAGATGTTTAGGAGGCTTGGACTCAAATTCCTGGTGTAGAGGAAATGCCTCCCAGCCTATACCTGAGTAAGGGACTGATCGTTTCCTTCTGGTATGCAGGCTATGGGGCTGGCAGGGGTGGGAAGGATCAGGTTTGGCTAAAGAGTGGGACTGATGCTTACCAGAACGGCCCTGTGCCTGGAGCGGGGCCTTTGCTCCTTCATGGCCATTCCTCAGCTGTCAGCAAACATCTGTGAGCTGCCTGGGGGAGATACCCCTAATCCTGCTCAACTCTGGGCACCTACAGCCGTGCTGTCCAGCAGTGACTTGTGAGACAGCCAGCTCCAGTAAATGACTTGTGACAGCTTCAGGTCTCAGGATAGAGTTTGTTTTAATTTTAAAAAATGCAAAGCAAATTCAAGGAGCGTGGAGAAAGCCTGCTTCAGGTTGCACGCGATTACACTAAAAGAAGCTGTCACATTTGAATATAAACTGTGTTTATTTTGTTTTCGGAAAGCAGAATGAGACTTAAAAGTTGTCTGGGCAGGCATAGTCTAAAGTCCTAAGTCCTACCCCTTTTAAATACAGCTTTAGCCATGTTCTGCCTTCTCCCAAGTCATTTGCTTCATCGATTGCAAAGGGTGAACTTACCCTGAGTATGGATTAGAGCGCTGCAATCAAGGTGAGTATCTTAAGGCCATTGCCTGGATTTTTAAAGGAGCTGGAAATAGACAAGGCGCATGATCAGCATGGAAGAGCTGACTTTGTCTTAGCAGAACCCAGTAGAGGTGTTTCTGTAAAACTGACTTCTTCCCCCCCCTTTTTTTCCCTTCCCTGCCATGTGGTATGCAGCAGTTTGTTTGAACCAGACCCTCCTGCTGGTCACTGCTTCTAGACTTGCCTCGAGTGCCCAAGCTGAAACTCTCCAGGCTGATTTCCAGCAGTGCTGAGCACTGATGCACTTTGAATAAAGTTCTTTAAAACAATCAGCTCCCCAATGTGTGTTAATTCCTAGGTCTGTATTGCTATTTATGAAGAAGGAATACTGGCCTCGAGCTCGCGGTAATGTAGACCATGTCACACCAGATCATCCTCAAGTACTTTCAACAGCGAGCAATGCTGGAGAAGCACATGAGGAAACCCTCTGCCCGACATCACTTGGGCAGCGCTGCAGAGGACTGCAGTGTGTCTGGTCCCTTGTTCATCCATTTGGAAGAGGTGATGGGATGGGAGCCTGGTGCTCCTGTGCGTGCACAAAGTTTTGCCTGCTCGGTCTTCATTCTGGCATCTCCAGGAGCTTCACCTTTGCCCTTCTCTCCTCAAGTAAAACTCATGTTTGAACACGAGAGCTATTACTGTTTCTGAGCTCAAAGCTGTTTGCATTGGAGGTTCACAAGTGGTACAGCTGGGCACAGAGGCTCTTCACAGTTGGCCTGAAACCCAAACCTAGTTGTAAATGAGATGCGAAAAATCACATTCCTGGCTGGGTTCCCAGAGCACTGGTGCATTTCTCTAATGGAGGCAAACAAGACCTAAACCAACTCCAATAGTTATCTTTTGTTTTCATCTCTAACTGTGCCAAACCTGTGCCTGTGGTTTGGAGGTCGCCTTAGCACTGGCTGGAGTCACACTCCTCTAAACCCAAGCAGTTGTTCCCTGCAGCTGATGCCAGGCTGTGGGGCTGCAGCTGCTGCTGGGAAGGAGAAATGGGAAGCAGTCTCTCCTGGAAGGCAGCGGCCACTGCCACCACCTCCCTGTCCGCTGCCAAGCAAGCATAGCTTGGGGCTTTGGCTAGCATGTGGCTTACAGCATCAGTGTGCTCACTTTCCTTGGTGTGGGGGCTTCCCTGGCAGCTCCTTATCCCCTTCCTTGTCACCTGTGAAAGACCAGCCCCTGGTGTGGTGGTGGCCTCTGGGAAGCCTGGAAATGGCCCATGCCAAGGCATGGGCAAGGTCTCCAGCATCCAGGGGTGGATAGAGGCAGCAACCCCTTTGAGCAAGGGTCCACCTGGCCATGGAGTTGTTCAGTGCACAGGAGTTTGATGGTCCTTCCCCACTTGCTTCCAAAAAACTGCTTTTTGCAAAAGTAAGTGCCAGATTTGGCTGCCCTCAGCCCTCCCCT